GACACTCAGTGTCTAGAGCTGTGTCAGAAGGAAATAGAAAGGTGAACCCAAAATTCTTCTGTCCTAAGACTGGTTCTTCTCTAGTGCAGGAACTTGGGAACCAAAAGCATGACCAACAGCTGCTCTCAGGCCTGGCACGACAGGCTATCAAATGAGAAAATATGGAAATCATGAATGAGAGTCATGATGAGAATAGCAAGTCTTACTAAGACCAGTATGAAAAGAACAAGACCTGCAGGTTAATGTGACCTACTCTCCATTTTAGATTTGAAACTAGAAAGCAGGAAAGCCTTTGAGGACATTAAGCACTTTTCTGTTGTCTGCTATTACATCAAAAGTGTCTGTCTCTCTACTGAGACACAGTGAGAAATTGAAAGCTTCCATGGAACTAATGAATAAATTAATCATAAACCCAACAGTAACTACAGATTGAGGGTAGATGTCTTCAAATATTTTATAAGTTGGTACCACAAAACACATAGAATAGTTCATCACTGAGGGTTCTGTCAGAGGAAAGTTCTAGTGTTTGAAAGAATGGCTTGTGCTGGAAGATGAGTAATAATGGCCTTGGTCATTTTACAACATTTAATGTTCAATAAATGACTATACTGATGGTCTAAAAGAGTTTCAGTCTCTTTTAGACATGTAGGCATTCATTTGTTGCTTACTGAACTTCTAATACTCTTGAAGAATAAAAAAAGAATATCTGAAGAAAGTGGAAAAGAAAGAAGTGACAACTGTGCTAAACAGAGTCCACTGTGACACAGAAACATCTACAGGGAAGACAGATTATAATGGAAACCATCTGCCAGGCATGGTAACTTACTTATGGAATATCAGATTCTAGACAATGGGCCAGGAAGAGATCCATGACTTCAATCGCAATACCAACTACATAGTAAAGTCTAGAAAAGCCTGGCCTGAAGGAAAAGAAAGAAAAAGGAAACAAAAATAAAAAAGAAGGAAGGAAGGAAGGAAAGAAGGAAGGAAGGAAAGAAGGAAGGAAGGACGAGAAAATAGAAAAAGATCTCAACTTTGGTGACCTCTGGGACACAATTTAGAGACCAACCCTGGGTATCCTTCCTGCAAAGGGTGGTCTGAAATACAGAGTAAAACACAGAAGACTAATTCCATGATGTTATAGCATCAAGGATTTTTCTGTATCTACAAAAATATTAGGACAATACAACAATGGTGGCCATCCAAATGAAAAAGAAAGGGCCTACATAACAAAGTATAGTGACATCAGGAGTAAATGAAACATAAAGACTGCTGACATTAAAGGGTGAAGGAACATGTGTCAGCTTACTCACAAAACCTATCAACAAAATAACAGTGTCCTCTCTAAAAATCCTAGATCTGGAAAAGCACTGGAATGCAATTTTCTACATTCTGACAGAATATATAACTGCCAATCAATTGTCACAGCCAATATGATAGAAACCACTCTCCTTGTTTATATCTTCTTAGGGCTACACTAGCTATCCAGCTAAATACCCTGCCTTGATCTTCTCTGTAGGTACTCACAGACCCCAGATAGAGAACTGCCTCTGACAAACTTTGTTTCTTTGGGATTCCCACAAAGTACACAGTTCATATTCTATCTGGGGACTCCAAAATGATGAGTGAAACATATACCAAAAGATATAACCAAGAACCAAACTCCAGGGGTCTAAATTCCATCATAAAATTACAAGTAATATGAAAAATAAAAACAATATGTTTCTCCTAAAGATCATGAATCCTGTAGCATGTATCCCAAGTGAATATAATTTAGATGAAGTTCAAGACACAGGATTCAAAAGAAGAGTTACAAGCATGTTCAGGAGATCAAGGAATTTGGAGAGGATTTGAATAAACACCTGGATGAACTTCTAGAAGACAGGAAAAAAACACCTTATTGAAGTAAAAACAGTAAAATTAGCCAGCTATACACACAGAAGAAGACTGGTGTCTATAAAACATAAAGAACTCAAAGAAGAAAACACCAAGGAAAGAAACACAAAGAATAGACTGTAGATTTGAACCAAAAATCCCCAAAGAAGAAATATGAATATCTGCTGAGATTTTGAAGTGTTCAGTGTCAGTGGCCAGGAAAATTCAAAATTAATACTGCTTTGAGATTTTATTTTATCCTAACAGAATGGCTCTCATCAAGAATCCAAAGAACAAGAAATGTTGATGAGGATGGAAAAGAGGAACACTCATTTAGTGTTGTTGGTGAAAAGGCAAATTGAAACCACCACTGTAGAAATCAGTATAGTGATTCTTCCAGAAATGAGATAGAACTGTTGTAATAAATGTACTGGCTAGTTTCTTGTCAACTTGACCCACGTTATCATTATAAAAGAGGAGGGAACCTCTGCTGAGAAAATTCCTCCATGAGATTAGGCTGTATACAAGTCTGTAGAGTATTTTCTTAATTAGTAATTGATGATGAAGGGTTCAGTCCTCTGTAGGTGGTACTATCTCTGAGCTGATAGTTCTGGATTCTTTAAGAAAGCAGGTTGAGCAACCCATAAACAGCTCTCCTCTGTGGTCTCTGCAGTAAGTCCTGCCTCAAGAATCTTCTCATGCTGTCTTGACTTCCTTTGATGATGAACTATGAAGTGGAAGTATAAGATGAAGAAACTCTTTCCCAAGATTCTTTGGTCATGGTGTTTCATCACAGCAATTGTAATTTCAACTAACACATTACCTGATTATCATGTCTTGACATGAATTCTAAAAGACTTAATATGCTAATAAAAATGACCCTTTATTATCCATGTTCATTGCTGCCATTCTATTCACAATAACTAGGATAGAGAATCAGCGAAGATGTCCATCAAACAATGAGTAGATAATGAAGTAGTGTATACATATACAGTGGGACAAATTCAGCTGTAAACATAAATTATATTCTGAAACTTTTATGCAAATGACTGGAGCTGAAAAAATGTATTTAGGGAGAAATCTCAGGGAGAACATAAATGGAAATACAGTATATTCTGCTCTATTTGTGGATCCTAGCTTCATATCTCTAAGTCTATGTGATCTACATGGAGTACTTGTGGAAGCCAGGACACGAGAAAAAGTTCCTTGGAAGGAACATGCCTCAGTGGTAACCAAAAAAAATGGATGGAAGGAAATATGAAAGAACAAAAAGGGATATGGTTTTAGAAAGAAGGAGGACAGTGATGGAGAAACAGGTAAATCAGAGGAGATTAAGTGGCTAATCAAAATGAAGACCATAGAGAAACCTCCAAACTTAAAACTACACTTTAAATGATTATTTTTGAAAAATGAGATTGTAGGGGGCTATATTATATACATTGGGGAAACTTCTTAGGAGCCATAGTTGTTAAATAAAATATCCTACCAGACAAGTTATAGCTCTTTATGAACTGTTGGGCAAGAAGTCCCTGGAAAAGCACCAAACAATAGAGATTCTTCTCATATCTTATGTTTGCTTCATCACAACTACATGTTCAGACCCTATTGTTGAAGACACTGAACCCCTTGACTGCAAAAAAATACATAGAACAAGCTAGTACCAAGGCAGAATCTTCCTCCCTGCTGGTGCTAGCTTTCACAAACCCAGGAGGTGCTATGCAGGACCCTGAAGGGAAAGCCACATCTATGTATGGTCTTACCAGCTATGAATCCTGCAATCTATGAGACCAACCTGCCTGGTCAGAATTGCATATTTGTGTGATAGTCTTAGTATGGTTATGGGGGAAATAACTGCTTTATGATTGGGTTTGAAGACCACTCCATGTGAAGGAATGCTTGCCTAGTGCTGGAAAATACAAAATTGGGGAGTTCATTTGACCTGTGGGGAAACTGAATCCAGTTGTTGAACTAAACTGACAGCATGGAGCAGCTCTTACGATATTTATGTTAATACTAATTATGGACACTGCATTCAACCTTGATGAGAGATGCTTCTATTTTAAGCCAATGGCCATAAAAGAAGAAAATTGTGGCAGCACAGGGAACTGAGATTAAGCAAAGGTTGGGAGATTACCTCTAAGAAAGTCATGCAGGCCATATCCCTTGAGGTTCAGGTTAACATTGTAGAAGGAAGAGTAGGAAGAATTGAAGAGCAGGAAAAATAAGGAGAAAAACTTCAAAGTGACATCTTAACAAGACACAGTCATTAGTCACATAGCCAATCTGATTTGAGAAGAGAAGAAATCAATGCCTTCAATCAGGTACCCACAAGTAAACAATCCAATTGTCAATAGATAGTTCAAAGAATCAAATTGGCATGCAGAATAAATGTTACAGAACAACACTGAATCATGATACCAGAAAATAACTGGCAGAGAGGGAGATCAACACAGATGGAAGGGATAGCTCAGAGAGTTGGAAAAATAATCAGAGACCATTGTATGAATAAATTAAATAACAAAAAACAAAATTGATGAATTTTGAATACCTGGAGTATAGCACAGTAACAGCCACCTCTGGGCTCAGATGAGTTCTCCCTTACTACAGTTGGTAAAGATCCACACTCCTTGCTTTTTTTTGTCTTGGGAGATGGGTTCTTGTATCTTTCCCTTAATTTTTATATCAATGGTAGATTGTACTGAATTGTGTTCTTTGTAGTCACTCATTTTTACACCATCTGTTTCCTACTTGGACAGAATTACACAAGGGAATGGAAACTTTCCATTGCAGGAAACATAGAGAGGTACCGCGGTTCATATACCCATATGTTTGCCATGTCAAGGAAAGTGGCAGAATGCTCACAATGGCAGCATGTTTGAGTAGTTGGGGTGAGAGAAGAATGGGAGAAAGTACAAGGACAGGGCACTGTCCTGGTTCACTGGCTTCAAACCTCCCACACTGCAGTCTGCCAATCCACAAAGCTGTCATGGAAGACTTTCATGACTCCTGTTTCTGAAGAACCACATGAGGCACCATAGATTCTCCACCACTAGTGTAGTTATATTGTCGGGTACTAAGAAAAACAGATAATAGTTTTAGCAAGAAAGTCTCAAAAAGCATCTTACCTTTCCTCCATTTTGTTTATAGGAAGTCGTAAGCTTTTCTCTGGCAAACAGAAGTGTCCTCTGAATCAGCCATCAATATGAAACACGAGACTGTAGACAGAATGATGTTTGAGGAAGGATAATCAATAGGGGAAGAAAGACCTGTGGTTTCCTGTACTTGGATCTGTGTATGAGTGTTACTCCTTTGAATCATGTTCTTCACAAGACTGTTCTCAATATTTGACCTGGCTCCAATCTCTCATCCTCTGGTCATGTCAAACCCTATGGCTCCTCTTCCTTGTTAGTGCTCCTTACAGCCAGAAGGCCTGTAATGCTAAACAATGTGAGTGCTGTAGCATTCTCTGGGTATCCGTCCTAACTTTATGTTCACAAAATTAGACAATGATGAAGAAAAAACTGTAAAGACAATGATCATATCTGGTGGATTTGCAGAATAGTGATTTGAAAATACATCAAGTAGGAGTCCTGATTTCAAAATTACAAGAGTTGTTTCTGTCAGATGCCCAGCCTAGGGAAGAATATAAGTAACATGTGTCCTTCAGGGTCCTGGGACATCCTTCTTACTGCTAAGATGGCCAAGAAGGTCAACTCAGCACTCTGCAGCAGAACCATTAAAATGAGTCAAGATGATGTCTGCAAGAATGCTGGGTAAGTATGATTCTGGAAACATGGAAATGAAGGAAACCAAAAAGACACAAGAAAAGGATAACCCTTCAATTAGCATGATGTAATTAGAATCAAAACCAAGAAACTTGTGATTTAGTTGCAGAGAATGGGTAGCAGCAGTGGGGAGGGCCCTGCCTCTGAGAAAGGAGAGAAAAGAAACAGTTGTATGTGGCCCCAGGAGCAACTCTCAGGAGTCCACTTACACCATGTAAAGAATGTAACAGCAGGGAAAATAAAGAGAAGAGCTTCAAAATGACTTCTTGACAAAATGCAGTTACTCCAATCACAGACTCAGATCACTCGGTAATACCCACACAGGTTATACACAAAAATATCCCCATCAACAGTCAGGCATCGATGGAGGATTGATTATGGGAGGGCTACCTCCCCAAGCTGAATAACTGACTTACAACTGATTCAAGAAAATTAGAAATCGTTGCCTTCAATCAGGTACCCAAGAGTAACCAAACAAGGTGCCAATATGTAGTTCAAATAACCAAATAAGCATACGGAATAAATGTTTCAAAACAAAACTAAGGGAGAAGAAGGCATGGGGGAGCAGGAAGGTTGAGTCGAGGTAAGAATAGAGGAAAGCAGGATGAGAGGTACCATAATAGATCCAGTCATTATAGGCTTGAGGAGTGAGCTGACTCTAATGAGATCTCCAGATATCTACAAGGGTAACACCAACTCGCAAGCTAAGCAGTAGTGGAGAGACTACATTAATTTCACCTCCTTGATGGTAAGGTTGATGACTACCTTATATGCCATCCTAGAACCTTCATCCAGGGATTGATGAAAGCAGAGACAGATACCCACAGCTAAACACTGAACTGAACTCCTGGAACCTAGTGACAGAGATGGAGGAGTGATGAGCAAAGGGGTTAAGACCATGATGATGAAACCCACAAAGACAGCTGACCGGATAAGGGGGAGCTCTAGAATCCCAGACTGATGGCTGAGAGACCAACAGGAGACTGATCCCGACTCCATGAATGTAGTGCCAGGGAGGAGGCCACAGAAATCACTGGGGCCTTGGGTAGTAGATCAGTGTTTACTATGGTGTATGAATGATCTTTTGGAGCCCATTCCAAATAGAGGGATGCTCTCTCAGCCTGGACACATGGGGAAGGGCCTAGGTTGAAATGACAGACTTTAGAGATCCCCCCAAGGAGGGTCTCACCCTCCCTGGGGAATGATGTGGGGATTGGGTGGAGGGCTGGGGAACTGGTTGAGGGACAAGGGAGGAGGGGTGGGAGAGAGAGCTGGGACTGACATATGAAAAATTCATGTTTCTAATTTAAATAAAAACATATTGAAAAAATTAAAAATCATGGTCTTAAATAGGAACTTAAGTAGAGAGGGAGATCAACAGAGAAGGGATGAATAGTTCAAAGAGTTGGACAGAGTAATCAGAAAATATTGCATGTATAAATTAAGTAACCAAAGGACAAAATTAATCAATATTGAATACCTGAGTTATAGCACAGGTACCCTGCAATCACAGCAACAGCTACCCCTGGGTTCAGATGAGTTCTCCTTTACTGCGCTTGGTAAAGCTTCACATCCCTTGATCTTTTGTTGGCTTGGAGATGGACTCAACATCCCATGTATTTTCCCTAAATATTTATATTATTTGTAAGTTACACTTAATTACATTCTTTGCAGTCACTCATTTTCAGATCATCTGTTTCAGACAGAAATGCACAAAGGGATGGAAACGTTCCATTGCAAGAAACACAGTGAGGTGCTGAGAGAACCGTACTTTTAGAGACAGTGCCTGTACACCTGTGTCTGCCAGGTCAAGGGAAGTGGCAGGATGCTCGCGATAGCAGCTTGTGTGGACAGTTGGGATGAGAGAAGAAAGGGATAAAGCACACGTAGAGGGCACTGCTCTTGCTCACTGGCTTCAGACCTCCCACACTGCACTCTGCCAACCCACAAAGCTGTCATGGAAGACTCTCATGACTCCTGTTTCTGCAGAAATGCATGAGGCACAGTGGATTCTACACTGCTGGCGTAGTTATATGGTCAAGTGCTTAGAAAAATAAATAATAGCTTTAGGGATAAGGCCTCAAAGGGCATCTTACCTTCCCTTCATTCTCTTTACAAAAGATCTTAAGCTTGTCTGTGGCAAACAGAAGTGTCCCCCTGTGTCAGCCATCAATATAAAACACGCCTGCATTGCAAAGACTGTGAAGATAACAATGGTTGGGAGAGGATAGTCAAGAGGGGAAGAAAGACTTGTGGTTTCCTGTACTTGGATCTGGGTGTATGAGTGTCACTCCTTTGAGTCATGCTGTTCACGAGACTTTTCTCAGTATTTGGCCTGGCTCCTATCTCTTATCCTCTGGCCGTGCCAACCCCTATGGCTCCTCTTCCCCATTAGTGCTTCTTGCTACCTGAAAGCCAGAAATGCCAAACAATGTGAGCCGCCAGTGCTGTAACATTCTCTTTGTATCAGATCTATCTTTGTGTTTGTAGAAACAGACAGTGATGACACAACAAAGACAATGATCAATTCTGGTGAAGAGTGACTTGAAAATACATCAAGTAGTAGCCTTGCTTTTGAATCTACATGTTCTGCTTCTGTCAAATACTCAGCCTAGGAAGGATCTAAGGAATATGTGGCCTCTGACTCCTGAGGCATCCTCTTTACTGCTAAGATGGCCAAGGTCAATTCAGAACTCAGCAGCTTCATGAAAAGATGTTACCTGTAAGAGTACTGGATAAAACTATAGCATAAAAGAACAAACCATCAAGTAACATGGAGCAACTAGAAAGAAAACCAAGAAACTGGTGATTTCACTGCAACAAATGGAGAACAGCTCTGACATGAGACATGCTTGGATTTAGAGAAAGAGAGCCACAGTCTAACTCCAAATCCAGCTTTGAATTTTACATGAATTGGGACTACCAGTGTACTGGGGGGGTGAGGAGATGTAGGTGTTTAGGTAGAGAGATTATTTTTACCCTGAATAGATATTGGTACCATAAGTCAGATTCTTCTTATTTGATGACTCTGAATAGCTACCTTTTCTTTTTTAGGCATCTACATATCCGATGTCTTTAGGTGTGAGGAGCCGCCCTCGCTATCGCTATTGCCGTTAGAAGATGGCGCTGACATCCACTGTCAGTTGGAGTTAACTGTCGCTGTCAGTTGGAGTTAACTGTCGCTGTCAGTTGGAGTTAACCGTTTAAACTGTGCCTCTCCCGTGACGTCATCTGGGGTGATGTGCAAACCACCAATCCCGGCTCTACACATCTCACTCGGAGCTCCTAGGCTTATATAAGGGGCTGGGTTTCTTAGCTTGGGGTCTCCCCTCTAAGAAGCTGATCATCTATCTCTCAAGATGCATTAAAGCTTTACTGCAGAAGGATCCGAGTGTTCTGCGTCGTTCTTGCTGGCGAGACGGTAGCGCGGGACATTTAGGTATTTTCTGTTTTCCTGTAAAGACAAGAACAGAACACTTCCCAAATCTTTGTGAGGTTTCCTTACAACTCGTGTGATACACGCTGGTGTATGACCTACCATTTTTCCCCATCAAACAGCCATGGGGATGGGTCAGCTTCTGAGAAAGCAGGAGGAAAAGGAGCCGGGTCTCTGTGATCTCAGAGAGACATTTCAGCAGTTTCTGCCACTCAGTTGCACCATGCAAACACATTATCTATTTTGCAAAGGCAAGATCTTAGTAACTCTAGAACCTTTTCTATTTTTATTTGTGCTTGTGTGTTTGCACATGTGTAGCATGCTATGTGACTGTGCTCTGCAGTTGGAGGCCAGAGATCAAAGTCTCAGGTCTTTTATCACTCTTCCCCTCGTGTCTTGAGACAAGGTCTTCCACTTGAAACTGGAACCAACCTACTCCAGTAGCCTAGGTAATAATTTTCCTCCAGAGGCTCCCCAGCGCTGTAATTATAGGAAGGTCATCACCTAACATAAATGTAGGTGATAGGAATTTGAACTCAGGTCCTCATAGTTGCAGGACAAGTGCTTTGCCTGCTGAACCACCTCCAGGGACTGTCCAGGAACACTGTATGAATGAGGAAATCCAGCTTCACATTCCCTACCTTTTAAATTATAAATGATTTTTAAGAGATTAGATTATTCCCTTGATTTGTCTATTTTATTTTTTTGTTTGTTTGGTTGGCCAATTGACTTTCTTGGTAAGCAGGAAATAGTATGGTGTGGAATAGATACAAAAGACATTCCAGCTATGACTAATATTTGTCACAAGTACGTCTTCCAAACTGGGAGGTTTGCTAGATATCTCGGCTAAGACTCTAAGCTTATAATTTAGGAGTATGCTAATCAATGAACTGGCTTTCCTAGCACCATTGAATAATTTAAAGCAAATGTGTGAAAGGCAATACAGCTGCTCCAGGAAGATGATGCAGGGAAATGTTGAGGGTAGTTATAAAGTGATTTTGTGTAAGGTCTTATTGCATGCCAACCCATTATGAGAACCGAGCAGGGTTTTGCTCTCAATTTAAATGCTGCAGAAAATAATTCATTAGTAAAAGGTATAGAAACAGAAAACAGGCCTATTAGTATGCTGAACAAGGTTGTTGGTGAGAAAATAGGAAATCAAGTGTGTCTCTGCCTTAGAAAGGATGATGAGTCACTGAAAGTGTATATTAGATGCAAACTAAATGCTTTTCAGAGCCCACTAAGGTGACTACTGGTGACATTTTCAGGTAACTGATAAGATAGTAGCAAAGGGGGTGGGGGTTGAAGACATGTTCTTAGGAAATAAACTTTAGTCCATGGGGCTGTATCATAGTTGTTGTCCTTTGTGAGTCCTCTCAGTGAATTTTCAGGGCTTGTGGCCAACTAAACATAGAGAGAGGAACCTCAGCAAAAAAATGACCAAGTCAAATCCAAAATTTGTTTCTTCGGCAACATTCTGAAATCAAGGAAAAGAGAAAGCATTCAAAGAAGAGGAAAAGTTAATAAGAGCAACTAATACAGGAAACTAGATGCATGAGTTCTTCCTTTCTTCAGAACAGAAAATTGTCAATCATCCACACTGCTTGAGGGCTCACCTGGACTGGAAGACTCTGAATGGAAAGAGGTTGCATTCTCTACTAGAAAAAAAAAGCTCGTCACATGTGTGACTGGAGGAAATGAGCAATTTGTTTAACCTTGCTAGCTGGAGGTGACAAACAGTGACAGCCTTCACAGAAGGAGAGAAGCAGCAGATGCAGAGACTGGAGGAGGCAGAAGACAAAAGCCATGTCAAGAGCACACAGTGCCACTAAGAGGTCAATTCCTCCATGAGACACCAAATTGTCATCTGGTTCCTGCTGAATGTACAGCCCTTTCCTACCAGAACACAGCACACGAGCTTCTGTGAAGTCTAAGAACACCAGACAAGATAGACTGCAGGGCTGTCCCTAGACAAAAGACTAGAGATAGGTAATGACCTCCTGCTTCTTGGCAGCCCAGAGCTGCTCTTATAAAGCAAGTTCCTTCCAACTGAAACAGTCCCTCCTAGAGGAAGGAAGGAGGCTCCTGAGGATCTATGACCATCTGAGGCTACCTGAGGAAGACTGTCAAAATAACTTGTCTTACTATCTTAAGATCCTGCAGAGAGCACCAAGACTGCAGCTTTCATGAGTTGTCATCCATGCTGGGTTTGCCTTTTTTAAGGTTCAGCTATCCAAGAGTCATCCATGGTCCTGTAAGTAATCCTTCATCCACAACCCAGTAGTAATCCCTCACTCATACTCATGTAAGACACCCCAGCAAACTGACTGGTTCACCAAGATGAACTTTGGTAGAACTGTTATTTTATTCTTCACAGGTTTCCTAGGCAAGTACATGCTTGTCCACATGTCCCCTGAAAAGTCATCCGAACACTTGGTGTCCAAACATGGCCAACAGAATCAGAGCAGAGTTTGAGAGAAGGGTGTATGAACCCTGCAATAAAGTTAATTAAATGCATCAGACATGCCAAATGCACATGATCCTCTAGGGTCAAGAGCAGAATGTTAAGGTTTGAGCATGGAGAACACTTGATAGGTCTAAACGCTTTAGACCCTGGAACGACTTGGGAAGATTGCAGAAACTTTAGAAGGCAGAATATAGTAAAGAAGTAAGTCACTCGAAAGGATGCCTTGCTCTTCCTGTCAAGTCTACATCCTGTTTTCCACAGTAAGACATTCCATCTTCTGAGAAGTTTTCTTACTTCCATTATTTCTGCTTAGGTACCAAAGGGGCATGGACCAAACCCTCAAATATAAAGATAGGTAATTCTTTCATCTCTAGTACTTCTGTAAAACTTCAATCACAGTGAAGGAAAACTAATCCAGCACACTGCTAAACATATGCCAGAGTACCTTTGCACTGTGATGAGTTACAATTAGTGCGGTGAACAATCTCTTTAGGGCAACATTTTAGGAAACACAGAAGTTTTTGTGCTCACAGATAAACAGCAGGCAAACCAGGAAAGTTGAACAGGTGTGGCTTTCTCTTTAAAGACAGAGAGAAGTAGAACTTGTTCTCTGCCCAGAAGTCTGGGAGCAGATATGGTTATTAGCCTGGTGACCATTGTGCTACCTATATGATGGATACCACGCAAATCCTCTCCCAGATCCTTATCATGAGCTTGTTTTTCTCTGTCAATCTATAAAACACATGTATGGAAGATGTCACATGTTCTATGCAATGGCATTGGATGTAGTCGTGTTTAAAACTTTCTTGTGAAGATGGGCTTGAGGTAATTAACACCAGAAAACTTTTTTCCAAATTGTTCCATTTTTTAATACACCTAAAATAAACTACCTGGTGTCAAAGTTTGAAGCAACATGGGCTACTGAATCATGTTAGACAGAATTTCCTTCCTGCCTCCCCAGAATTGGCAGGCTGCTAGCTATTGTTTGCAGAGAAGCCCACAATCATTGGATTCGCTTTACTGTTATTTCCTTGAAGGTATTTCCAAGTGTTTCCTTCAAAGATATTAGTCTGTAGCTCTTTATGGAATTCATGTCTGTTCCTTCTTAACTGTTAGGTAGAACTCAGCAGTGATCTGTGTGATTCTGAGATAGTCTTAAGACTGCCCTGGATGAAATGACAGTCACTGGAGATCCACCATAGAGGGCCTCATTCTCCCTGGGGATAGGGGTGGAAATTGGGTGGGCGACTGGAGGACCTGGTGGGGAGGGTGGGGAAGGAGGGGAGGGAGAGGGAGCTGGGATTGGCATGTGAAACAAGCTTGTTTCTAACTTAAATTAAAATTTTTTTAAAAGATTGTTTTCTTGTGGATTCAATGTCATTACTTTTTTAATATTTCATTTCATGTATAAATCTGTGTGCATGAGAGAGAGAGAGAGAGAGAGAGAGAGAGAGAGAGAGAGGAGAGACACAGAGAGAGACAGAGAGAGAGAGACTACTTCAGGTCCACATGGAAGCCAGAAGCACTGGATACTTCTGGAACTGGAGTTACAGGCACTGTGAACTACCTGTAATTTGCCTGTAAACTACCTGTAATTCACTCCATGTAACTATGGATCCTGGAACCAAGCATTGTCTTCTGCAAGAGTAGTGTGTGCTTTTCAAGTGCTGGGTCACCTCTCCAGCATCATCAGTTTTTATGTCTTCATTAATGTATGGTTGTGAGGGTTGATGTGTATGTGCCCAGGTCTTTCCACTTCTGTTTATACCAACCTTTTATCATCTACATGCTCATAAGAATCTCTAATATCCCTTCACATTTCTGTGGATTCAGCCCTGAAGTCTTTTTCACCAAAGATAGTATGCATTTGAGTCCTACATCATATTTTCTAGGATAGTCTAAAGTTTCTTATTTAGTTTCTCTTTTCTAAAAAGCCATTCTTTGTTTTGTTCATCATTGTTGTGTTTGAATCTTTACTTCACTTATGTCTTCTCTGATCTTAATTACTTTTTCCCTTCTACTAATGTTGACTTCAGTTTTCTTTCTTGTTTTCTGGCTCCTTGAGAAGTCCAGATATTTTTATGTAGGTGAGGGCATGCTGAACATATCCATAGTGTACTTGTGGAGAAGACGTTTTGTGGTCAGTTCTGTCCTTCCAAGTCTCTGAAATGGGACTCAGGTGGTCAGGTTTAGAAGCAAGAGACTCCCACTGAACCAAAGTCTGTCACATCATTTGGGGAAGGGCCTCATCCTCCCTGGGGAGTGGATGGGGGTGGGATAGGGGAGATCTGAGGGGGACATGGGATGATGGGAGGGAGAGGGAACTGAGATTGATATGTAAAATGGGATTGTTTCTAAATTAAAAAAAATAAAATATATGAAGTAACATTGTCACAGTGACTTTATATTGCTATGATTATGCCTCAAGACCAAGGCAACTCATTAAAAAATACTTAACTAGGGAGCTCATAGTTCCTGAGGGTTAGAGTCCATGACCATCATGACCAGATGCCTGGCAGCAGGTAGGTAGGCAGCCATGGCACTGGAGCAGTAGCTGAGAGCTTATATTTGATTCTCAGACATGAGACAGAGAGCTAACTGGGAATGGTACTTGTTTTGGAAACTCCGAAGTAGTGAGATACATCCTCCAACAAGGGCACATCTTTGAAACCTTCGGAAACAGTTCCCCCAAATTTGGGCCAAGCATTTTTTATGTCGAAAGGCTGAGATGGCTCTGCCCTGCCAGTTTTGATGACTGAAGCACACTCTCTCTTGGACTGGTTCCACTCCCTCTGTGCGGCTCTCCTTGGCAGACATCCCACAATTTTGGCATCTCCAACATCTTGGGGTCTCCAGAGAAATCTAGGCTTCAATTTCACAGCTTCGCACAAAACACAATATCCTCTCCAGGTCCCCACACAGGGACTCCTGCCCCACAGGCCTGGCCTCGGTGGCTTTCCTTAACCATGGAGGAAGATTCCATGGCCACTTTACTCCTGAATCCCTCTTGACTCAAATACCAGAACCATATGGCTGATGTTGCCAGATTCTGCGTTCTGCTTAGTATGGAACCTTGCCTTTTCCTTGACTAACAATTACATAAGCTTCCGTTTGTTGCTTAAATTTGTTGAATAGTTTTCCTTTATTTTAGGAGAGTTCTTAAGCACTTGCTTCTGCAAGTTGGAAATTTAGCTGGGTAATGTCTTGCCCTAAGAGCAGCACTCCTTTTATTCAATTGCATATCAGGGCTTTCTTTGAACTACTCATGTCTTTAGCACACGATTTAGCTCTAAAATTAAATTCCCCGGTGATCTTTTTCTCTGCAACTGTACATACTATATTTCTTCTCGCCCTTATTCATTTTCATTGAAGACATAATATCCTTTGCAAACAAAATTCGTCCCAAACTCTTTAACTTACCCTCTAGGCAGATACTTAGGACAAGGGCAAAAAGAGGCAATATTCATTACAAAATATACCAATAATGGTCTGTATCGCAGTTGCTGACATTGCTCTCCACTGAAGCCTCTTGAGCCGAGCCTCCAAAGTCTACAGTACTCTCAGTATGTAGGATGTAAGCCCCACTTACAACATTCAACTACTTCCCTAGTCCAAAGTTCCATAGTCTTCTGCGTTCCTGAAAAAAGTAACATGGTTAGGCCTGTTACAGAAGTAACACACACTCTGAAAGCAATTCTGTTTTAATTATGTTTATATTGTTGTGATGAGAAACCATGACCAAGGCAACTTATGAAACAAAGCATTTAATTTGAGGTATCACAGTTCCAGAGTGTTAGACTGCATGACCACCATAGCAGGAAGCATGACAACAGGCAGGCAGACAGGCAGGCTACTGGAGAAGCGATTGAGGGCTTACATCTAATTCAAGGCATGGAGTGGACACTAGGAATGGCATGGGTATTTGAAACTCTGAAGACAACCCCTAGTGCTGTACCTTCTCCAAAAAGGCCTCGCCTTCTAATCTTATCCAAATAGTTCCATCATTCAAATATACGACCTTATGGCAATTATTCTCATTCAGAACACAAAAGTAACAAACAGCATGGGATCTCTTTGTAATAACAGGGCATTGCACTCAGAAGTTTTTCTAAGTTTTTGCTACAAGGTGAAAATATGAATTTTTACATGAAATACTGTATAGGTTAATTTCTTCAACTGTAACAACCATTGAACCACATGAATATCAAGCACTATGCTACCTGTTCAATTTGCACTCTACGTTTCAGTTTAGAACAGAAATGCAGACAGCATTGACCTCTGAAGCAAAAAGTTTTGACTGGAAGAGGAAATGCAAATTAAAAGAGTAAGGGAGTATTTTGTGTCTTGATTGTGTTCAGCATCCTGTAGCCACATATACTTAAGAAATTCTATAGATTTCTTTCCTTTGATCTGTTCATATTATGCTGTCCTATTTGTACTTCAATTGAAATTATCACATACTGAAGCTCTAGAATTGAAATATTATTTTATAGAAAATGTTGCTAAGATAAGCATAATTTAAGTAACAAATGCTATGAACTCTGGGGATGGCATAAATTTGAAGCAGGGTTGATTTCAAAGGAACCTAGTCTAGAGGACCTCATTGGCAATTTGTCATGAGGGATTAGATAGCCGGGGGAACCACAGCAAAGACACAGAGGAAAGAGACAGCGACTTGACTATGGAATGCTAAGCAAGGCATTGTGGATGGAACCACTGAAGGAACCACCCTCAGATATGCATGGATGCTGATGGACCTCATTACAAAACCTGACTGTACTCTTCCAATGCTGAAAATGGCAGCCAATGTGAACTTGAAGGTGAGGACCCCAGTGGGTCAGTACACATAACATAGACTTCTCTCGAGGATATATAATATTTCCTAAGCAATTTATATAAGAAGGACTATTGCTCCATAAATTCTTTTAAAACTACAGAAACAAAGACTGGGATTATAAAATGTGTGTTTTTAATCCTTCGGACATTGAGACAAAGGTTGTTTTTTAAAAGGAAGCATTGCAAAACATGCCAGTTACATAAATCTGACCCCTGGCTTAAGAGAGGGGAGAGAGCTTCTCGACCAGAATGTTGCTACTTGGAAGGCAGTTTCTAATTACACCATTTGTTAGGTGTGTGCAGTTTATTTGCTGCACTGCAAACATACTGGTGAAACTGATTGTTGGGAACATCTAATCTTTAGACCTCTAAGTGCATAATAGACTTGTTATGGCAATGCATGCCTTTACTCCTTGGCTGAGGCAGGTGGATCTGAGTTCCAGGCAAGCCAGGCTACGTAGACTTTGTCTCAAAACAGTAAGAAAACATGCACAATGGACTAGAAGGGTGACTCAGCAGGCAAAGGTGCTTGCCACCAATCTGATGACCTGAACTTGATCTCCAGGCTCCACATGATAAAAGGAGAAAACTGATTCACAATTTGCCTTTTAGCCTCCATAAATGTACAATGGCACACTTGTGTTCACATGCGTACACTAAATCATAAATGTGCAAGGTGCACAACATGGTAAAAAGCAGAGGGATAGCACCGCCTTTTAAGGATTGTTTTGCTATTTCCAGGAACGGTTGCCCTGGGGAAATGGAATCGTTAAACTCGGTCTTTGGCCAGATACTGTTACTGGGTGAGTAGGAAAAAGACCGGTGCAAGAATGCAGCACTGTGCCTGCTGCTTAGCTCTGGTTGCCTAGCCATTGTGTAGGTGTGCATTTCAGTAAATGCTGCCAGGTATTGGAAGATAAGTTCCAGTGCCCAAAGGATGTTAGAAGTAGCAAAAATAATTACTATACATGTCCTACTAGTCTTTTGGAAGGACCCTCTTCTGGGTGTGGCCTTTCCAGTACTGTCACTGGAGTTATCCTGGAGTTATGCAGAGAAGAAGTTGGATGTGGAAAGACTCTTTGTTAGGACCGCCACATTTAGAAGACAGTTATATCCGTACCCAGGGATCTGTATGTGCATTTCAGGAAAGATACTTTTGTTTATTGTGCACAAAGTTCATTCCACAACATTGGAATTTTATAAATGTCCTGAAGGAGAGCACACACCTTTAATCCCAGCACTTGGGAGGTGGAAGCAGGAAGATCAGGAGTTCAAGGCCACACTGGGCTACATGAGATTTAACCAGTCTAAAAGAGAAACAGACCTCACACCTTTGATCCCAGCTTTTGGGATCTCACACCTTTAATCCCAGAACTAGGGAGGTAGAGATAAGATGTGATATGGCTGGATGGAGAGAGGAATATAAGGCAGAAGGAGACAGGAGCTCTGCCCTCTTTGGTCTGAGGATTTCATAGAGGTAAGAACTCTAGTGGCTAGCTCCTTCTCTAATCTTTCAGCTTTCACTCCGATATCTGGGTTTTTATTATTAAGACCAATTAGATTTGGGCTACAATAGGTGCATCTTCCAACTATTCCATAGGAATACATTTATTAAGCAGGAGCACACCTTCTTCCTCATATCTTAGTATATAGATCTGCATATAACTTAGAAATACTGTACTTAGTGAGGTCTGTTGCTCGTGTTTCCTTGTAAGCTGAATATTGAGGGAATGCAGAGTTTCACCAATACTATACAGAGGCCTGATGCCATTTTTATCTTCTATGAAATTTTTGTTTCCAAAGAAGATAGGATTACAATTTTGTCTGACAAATTGAGACAGTGTGGTGCATTCTTGGTTATCAAAATACTCATGGGTTATTAGTTGGTAAATATTTATAATGTGGGGGAAGGTGTGGTACACACTGTATAATCTAAATTGCCTATATGTATGCACATTTGCAGGATCTAGGACACATCAAGATAAGCTGCTTGTTACTGAGTGGCTTCGTTCTTGGATTCTTGTGTTTTGTTTACTAAAATGTACCTTAAAAATAAAAAGCTTAATTTTTAAGCTAAAAAAACAGGAAATGAAATTGTTGCAAATATATCAGGGATTCAACCACTATCATGTTCAATGACTAACGAAATAAATCGCTTTAGTAAATTTCCTTGACCCTTCTGCTGAAGGGGGGATTTGTCAATAGTGGTCAAAAGATCTCCTGAACCCCAGAAAGCTTCCAAGGAGTCCCACCAAAAGGAGATGATGAAGCCCTGAGGAAGACAGCTCCAGAAATGCTGCAGCCAGTGTTTGTATAACAAATACAGCATCAATCAACTTCCACAAGATTGACGACTTTCCCAACTGATTTAACCTTGGTTCGTCAATTAAATATGGTTATGAAAATGCCACAAACTAATAAGGACAACGTTGTTTCTCAGTGCTACTTCTGCCTGATCCAAACAGATCTCAGGATCTGTTAGACTGTTTTCATTTCTCTAGCTCGTCCTGAAGAAGCCCCTTCTCCACATTCTTCCTCTTCAGGGGTGTCCTGCATGGCTCTCTGCAGAAGTAGCTTGAGAGTCCTCCACTGGAACTTACGATGCCTAATGGAGCCAACAAGGAAGTAAATGATGGGGTTGGCACAGCTGTTAACACAGGAGAGAAATATTGTCACTGAATAAAAATCATAAAGCACAACGTAATTAAAATTTTCAATCCATTCTAAGAGAAACCGGTAGATCCCATAGGGCAGACCAAAGAGCAGGAAGACCAGCACTGTACACACAATGGTCACATACAGCCTGGTCACAGGAATCCTGTGTGAACCACAAAAGATAGTAACCAGTAAGGCCAGACTGGACCCCAAGAGAACTACAAATAAAAAAATTAACCATGCAGTAGTGATGAAATCAAATGTCTGACACCAACCATGGCCAACACTATCATATAGGAAGCCACATTCATTCCCTTCCACGAGGCTCAACAGCAGTGACAAGATCCAAAGCAGGGTACATATGACAGCGGATGTGTGCCTTGGGCGCTGGCAGCGATACCAGATGGGCCACATGACGGACAGACTTCGTTCAGTGCTAATGGCACTGAGCATGCTCAGCCCACAAAGATAAGTAAAGTTTAAAAGCACGAAAGAAAGCAGAGGAGTGTCAATGGTCTTGAAGTAGAAGATGTCCAAGATAATATGAAGGCAATGCACAATTTGAAAGCAGAGGAAGAGGAAGTCGGCCCCAGCCAGGTTGAGGATGTAGACAGAGAAGGCGTTCCTGCGCATGTGGAAGACCAGAAACCACAGCACTATGGCATTTCCTGCCACACCAACCAGGGCAATGATGGGGGAAAGAAAAATCACTGTACAGAACATGATGCTACAAAGTGGGCTTCCGGTGTTGTTTTCTCCATCCAGTGCTGTGACGTTAGTCCCCCAGTCTGAGATGTTTATATCCACTCTTAGGAGCTCTCCACTAGTGTTCCTGGAATGGAAAACAAGATATGATCACATGCTGTATCCTCAGGCCCACCATGCCCTAAGAATAACTGACCTGGCTCATAAAGAAGTGAATCAGGATTGTAGAGACTGAGTAAGTTATGAAAACCAATGTTTCTGAAGATTTCATTTCAATCCAGTTTGTATTTATTTGGGCTATCTACAACCCATGTCTTGTACTGATATGAGAGTAGTTAGCAGCCCTAGTATAGACACTCAGTAAGTACCTTGGGCTATGTCAGAAGGAAATAGAACTGTAAACCTAAATTTCTAATAAGACTAGTTCTTCTCTGGTGCAGGAACTTGCAAGTCAAAATCATGACCAACAGCTGCTCTCAGTCCCAGAAGGGGAGGCTTTCAAATGGGAAAGTATGGGAATCAAGAATGAAAGTCATGAAGTCAATGGCATATCCTACTAAGAACCAGACCAGCAGGTTAATGTGAATCAGTCTCCAGTTCAGATTTGAAACCAGAAAGCAGGAAAGCCTCTGAGGACATCAGGAACTTTTCTGTCGTCTGCTGCTACATCACAAGTATCCGTCTCTCTATTGAGACACAGTGAGAAATTGAGACTTTTCATGGAAAAATTAATGAATTAATTGTAAACCCAACAGTGGCTACAAATTTAAATTAAATGTTTTTGCAAATACTTTTTCCTTTTCATAATTTTTTAAATTTAGAAACAATCTTATTTAACATATCAGTTCCCTTTCCCTCCCATCCTCCCATGCCCCCCACCATCCCACCCCCATCCACTCCCCAGGAGGGTAAGGCTTTCCATTGGGGAATCATCAAAGTCTGTCCCATCATTTGTGGCAGGGCTTAGGCCCTCGGCCCTCCCCTGTGTATCTAGGCTGAGAGAGTATCCCTCCATGGGGAATGGGCTCCCAAAGTCCATTCATATTTTTGCAACTAATTTAGATCAAGTTAGTACCACAAAACACATAGAAAATGATGAAAATATTGTTGTTGAGGGTTCTGTCGGTGGAAAGTTCGAGTGTGTTTGAAATAATGGCTTGTGCTACAAGATGGCTAATGATGGCCTTGGTCATTCCCCAACCCAGAAATGTCCAGTAAATGACTATATTGGAGACCTAGAACAATTTCAGCCCAGAATTTAGCCATTGGTTTTATAATAACTGAACTTCAAACACTCTAGAAGAACTAAAAGGGAAATTTGTAGAAAGAGTAAAAGAAAGAAGTGACAAGTGTGTTAAACAGAGGCCACTGTGACACAGAAACATCTACAGGGAAGACAGAGTGTAATGGAAACCATCTACCAGGCATGGTAGTTAATAGAGGCCACTGTGACGCAGAAATATTTACAGGGAAGACAAGGTGTAATAGAAACCATCTACCAGGCATGGTAGTTAATCTGTTAAAAACCAGACTCTAGAGGTGGGCTCTGAATAGCTCACTGAGTTTGAGAACAATCTAAGCCACACAGTGCACTACAGAAAAGCTTGGTCTGAGGGAAAAGAAAGAAAGGAACAAAAAAAGAAAGGGAGGGATGAAGAAAAAGAGGAAGGAACAAAGGAATAAATGGAGGAACCAGGAAAAGAAGGAAGGAAGGGAGGGAGGGAGGGGGGGAGGGAGGAAGAAGGAGGGGGAGATGGAAGGAGGGAGGGGAGGGAGAGACAGACAGAGAGAGGGGGGATCACTTTGGATACTTCTGGAACTCAAATTAGAAATCAACCCTCAATATCCTTTGGGCAAAGGATGGGTCTGAAATGCAGAATAAAGCACAAAAGACTAATTCCATGATGTTATGGCATTAATGATTTTCTTTCGTCTGCAAAAATACAGGGACACTCCAACAAAGGAGGCATTCCAAATTGACATCAATAAGAAAGAACTTATGTAACAAAATGTAGTGGCAAGTGCCAGGAGTTGTGACACATAACAGATGCTGATGTTAAAGGATGCAGGAGTATGCCCTGCTTTACCCACAAATTAAAACCTATTAGCAAAATAACAGAGTTCTGTGTAAACTTCTTAGAGCTGGAAAAGCACTGAAAGATAATGTCCCACACCACGACAGAATATATAACTGCCAATCCATTGTCACACCCATCCTGATAGAAACCACTCTCCATTTTTATACCCTCTTAGGGCTAACTTAGCTACCTAGCTAGATACACCATCTTGGTCTTCTCTGTAGGAACTGACAGGCCCCTTATAAGAGGCTCCTTCCACCAAACAATGTTCCTTTGGGATTCCCCCAAAGTATGTAGTCCAAGACCCACTTGGGGACTCCAAAATGGCGGTCAAAAACTTAAACCAAAAGATATAACCAAGAACCAAACTCCAGATGCACAAGTTCCCTCATGAAATCACAAACAATATGAAAAGCAAAAGCAATCTGTCTCTGCTAAAGATCATGAATCCTATAGCATGTACAGGGAGTACAGCTTAGATGAAACTTGCAACGCAGGAACCAAAAAAGAACCAATTAAAAGCATCCTTCAGACTCCAAAAAATCCAAAGAGAATTTGGATAAATGCCTGAATAGACTTAAAGAAGGCAGGAGTAAACACCTGACTGAAGTAAAAACACACCATCCAGCTATACATGGAGCAGAAGACTGCTATCTAGAAAACATGAAGACTCAAAGAGGAAAACACCAAGAAAAGAAGCAACACAATCAAGGAATGGACAATACACTTGAACACACAAATCCCCAAAGAATAAATATGAATATCTGCTACCATTTTCAAAAATGTTCAATGTCAGTGACCATAAGGAAAATTCAAATTGATACTGCTTTGAGACTCCATCTTATCCCAAGCTGAATGGCTATCATCAAAAAGCCAAAAAAATAAGTAAATAAATGCTGATAAAGAAATAGAGAAAGAGGACCACTCATTACTGTTGTTGGTGAGAATGTAAACTGAAACCTTCACTTTGGAAATCAGTGTGGTGATTCCTCAGAAAATGAGATAAAACTGTTATAATAAGTGTACTGGCTAGTTTCATGTCAACTTGACATAAGGTAGAGTCATAAGAGAGGAAGGAGCCTCTACTGAGAAAATTCCTCTATAATATCAGGCTGGAAACAAGTCTGTAGGGCATTTTTCTTAATTAGTGATTGATTAGGAAAGGGCCTAGCCCACAGTGGGTGGTGCCATCCCTGAGCTGGTGGTTCTGAGTTCTATAACAAAGCAGGTTGGGCAAGCTGTAAGGAGCTATCAAGACAGCAGTCCTCCTCTGTGGTCTCTGCATCAGCTCCTGCCTCCAGGTCCCTGCCCTGCTTGACTTCCTGTCTTTGCTTTCTCTGACAATGAAATGTGATGTGGAAGCATGAGGCAAATAAACCCTGTCTTCCCCCAAGTTGCTTTGATCATGGTGTTAACTCACAACGATAGTGATTTTAACTAGGACAGTACTTGACTATACCATGCCTTGTCATGTAACCCAAAGACTTTACATGCTACTACAAATAAAAATCCATCATTATTCATGTGCATTACTGCCATTGTAGTCACAATAACTAGAATAAGATATCACCCTAGATGTCCATCAACTGATGGGTAGACAATGAAATGTTGCACATATATAGAGTTGAACTAATTCAGCTGTAAAATATAAATTATATTGCAAAATTATCATGCAAACGGGTGGAACTGGAATAAATTATATTGAAGGAGGAAAGCCAGGAATGGCAAAAAGGCAATTGTCCTACATTCTGTGCCATAGGTGGATCCTAGTTTCAAATCTCTAATTTCGTGTGATCTACTTGAGTTACCTGTGGGAGACCGGACAATAGAAAGAGGTCTTTGGGAAGAGATGCCTTAATGGAGGCAAAAGACTGAAGTGAAGGAAATTTGAAAATACAGAAAGGAATATGAGAGCAATGTGTGTAAAAAGTTACATAAAATATAAAACAAGGAATATGGGATAGAAAGAAAGAGAAGACTTGTAGAGAAATAGGTAAATAAGAATAGATAAAGAGAGTTAATCAAAATTAAGGGCACAGAGAAATCTAATATCTTATAACTAAATTTTCAAACATTATTTTTGAAAAAGAGGGTTGCAGGGGGATACTTTTGTGGCTGGGGAAAGCTGCTTTGAGAATCCATGTGTTGTTAAACAACATAACCTGCCAGACATAATATAGCTCTTCATGAGTTGTTGGTCATGGAGTCTCCAAGGCCCCCAAAACAATGCAGACTCTTTTCATTCCTTCTGTTTGTTTTCATCATAATTACATGATCAGATCCTATTGCTGAAGGCACCCCACCCCTTGACTGTACAAATTACACAGAACAAAATAGTAGCAAGGCAGAAGCTTCCTCCCTGCTAGTGCTAGCTTTCAGAAACACAGAAAATGCTATGCAGGCTCCTTTGGTACGAATCATATCTATGGTCTTGCCAGTTATGAATCCTGCAATCTATGAGACCAACCTTGCCTGGTCAGAAGCACACGCTTGTGCAATAGTGGCAGTATGGTTATGGGGGAACTAACTGATTTCTGATTGGATCTGAAGCCCACTCCATATGAAGGAATACTTGTCTAGTGCTGAAAATCAGATTGGGGAGATCATATGCCCTGTGGTGAAACTGAATTCGGGTGTTGAACTACATTGAAAACGTGGAGCTGCTCTGTGAATAATTGTGTTTATACTCATTATGGACACTACACCCAGCCTTAATGAGAGAAGCTTCTCTTTGAAGCTAATGGCCATAAAAGAAGAGAATCATGGCAACACAAGGCACTGAGATTAGGTAAGGGTTGTGTTTCACCCCTAAGAAAGTCATTTATACCATTTCCTAAGGCTCAGGTAATATTGCAGAAGGAAGAGCAGAAAGAATGTAACAGCAGGAAAAACGAGGAGAAGAGCTTCAAAATCAAGGATATGTCCTTGATAAGACATGGTCACACCAGTCACAGACTCAGAGCAGTTGGGAATATACACACAGGTTCTACACAAAAATATTCCAGTCAACAGACAGGTGTGGATGAAGAATGGATTATGG